GCCTTCCCTCAAAACAAAAACGCGTCGGCAGGTGTCCAAGTCGAGCGTCGTGGACGACATGGTGGCCTCCAACGCCTGCTGTACGGCGACGGCCGCGGCCCCGACCACTGCGTCGTCATCAAATACGTGCCTACGTCGGCGACTCCAAGCGGGCCATGGACGATACACCTCAGGTGCTGTGGCGGGCGGCGGGCTGTCGGCTCGCATACGGGTGCTTAGGATGGCGGCCTGGCAACGTGCCAGCTGCTCACATATGGGTCTCGCAGCGTACCGGCGGAAGCCCCCCTGACTGTGGACCCTCTGTGTGTTGGGACGGCCTCTGGGGCCCGCTGAACGCGTGTCGGTTTGGGAAGGGGTCCCATTAGCGGGAGGGCGAGAGGATGCCACTGGATGCGGTGTTGGCCAGGTGGGCAGTCTGTGCTATGGAGTGCGAGTGTACCAGGGCTATGTGATGGCTGCACGCGTCAGGACGCCCCCCACGACGCCCCACCGTTGTGGTCCAATGTAAGCAGCACGATGTAACAGCGTTCAGTAACACTGCCGCGATTTTTGAGCAGTGTTCCGTTTTGTCATTGCTGTCAGAGTAGCTGCCACCACAACCAATGATTAGTCACGTGACCCATCACTTGACCATGAAAGGCGAGAACACGCTCGACTGCGCAGGTCAGGGCTGGGTCGCGTCCCTCGCCGGTCGCAACCGTTCGCCTGCAAACCTGGTGGCCGAAACGCGAGTCAGTGTGCGTGTTTGAGCCGAAACGTGTCAGCCTTATATCGCGCGGTCCGCCTCCACACACCACTTTTTCAATTGGCTCGGCACAACACCGGCGGTCCTCCGGACCCGAGCCGTGCCGTCTCCACGCGTCCGCCGCGTCCCCCGCGCCGCCGCGCCGGCTCGTGCCGAGCGTGCCGCCCCGTGCCGCGCGGTCCCGCTCTGACCGTCCGTCTCTCCGTGCAGAGATCATGTGCGGCGGCCATAACACGATGGTGCTGCACAACACGTGCGAGGACTCGCTGCTGGCGGCTCCGCTCATTCTCGACCTGGCCATCCTCACCGAGCTGTTCCAGCGCATTCAGTTCAGGTGAGGCGGCGCTGCGCCGCCGGCAGCCGCGGGGTGACGTCATCGCGAGCGATGACGTCACGCATGGCACGCGCTGTCTTCTTTGCGGGGTGTTTCTGCTGCGCGTGGAGGTGAGACGACACTGACTGATGTGTGTTTGGTGATAAACATCCGCGCACGAGGACGTTGGGTTTGTCCTCCCGCTGGCTTCTAGAGATAAGACCTCACTGGGATCTTGCAAGGTAGACATATTCCGGACTAGCGAGGTACATGTGTCCCGAACCTAGCGAGGTACATGTATCCCGGATCTTGCGAGGTAAATGTGTCCCGGACCTAGGAGTACATGTATCCCGGATCTTGCGAGGTAATGTGTCCCGGACCTAGCGAGGTACATGTATCCCGGATCTTGCGAGGTAAATGTGTCCCGGACCTAGCGAGGTACATGTATCCCGGACCTAGCGAGGCACATGTATCCCGGACCCAAATGCTGGTGTCTGTGGTTCGGTGCGCAGTACATCTTATGCTCTAAGCTGTAGGCACAGAGTAGTATCATCACGGACGTCATAAAAAATCGTGTCTTTGTTAAGGCCGCTTGCGGTTCAGACGAGCTCAGATTTAATGTTCAGCACGGGTCGAAACCAGCCCTCAGAACCTGTGGAATCATCAGCCAAAGTGGTTGGAAAGCGTTGATGGTAGGTAGTGCATGGGTCTTTCGAGGTTAAGGCTGCATCAGGTCCTCTTCAAAATCGCGCACCACTTGTTGATAGACTTTTCGCACTGTACCAACCTCGTCGACGTGCACGGAAATCGTAGCTGCAATTTTGCAAAAGTCATCCAACGTCATCGAATGACCTTATTTGACCTCGGGGAGATAAATGACTGCGCCTTTTCACTTGGATCAGCTTGACTTGGGTTTACATAATATTTACATGATATTCACTTTACCATTTACAAACTTCGCAGGTACGTGTGTAACTGCTTTGTGGGAATGGAAGGGACTGATACAACTTTGTTTGGTCAGGTGTGACTCTTCAATAACAGGACATGCTGAAAGTCAATGAAACTAACGTGGTACACCACGTACAGGGCGATCCCTTTGTCTCTTATATTCGCTCCGGCTTGTCGTTCATTGAAGGCGCCGCGCCAAGTCCCTCACCCCCCTCCCCCTCCCCCATCCCCTCCGCCTCTCCCCGCCTTGCGCTGTCAAATACGTCGCAGTAACGAGTTCGAACGAGGGCGGAAGTGGTCTGCCGTAACCCAGATGAACCCCACCTCGCCGCCGGCCGCTCGCC